ATTGCAGACGAGCTCCGCACCGACATTGACCGTCTCCAAGAAGACAATGTGACCCTTCACAGTGTACTGCAAAATCAGCAGCAAATGATCTTGGACTTGCTCGCGCGACGAACGATTGAGAGCGCGATGGGCCGTGGCCTGAACGAGTTAATCTATAGATATTAATCTTTGCAACGACGTTCGTGGATTGTCAGGTAGCGACACTCTACCGTAAGAGTCAAAAGAGTGGCCGGAAAAACGATGGTCGCATTCGGGTTTGTGGTAACCCACTGGTGGTAACCATAGGATACGCAGCTCCCCACCTGAGAAAGGGCCACAGGTACGAAGCGTCGGACACAGCTGGCGCGGGATGCCACCATGCGCTGCGTACCGCGGAGGGCTTCAAGTTGGCTAGTAAATACCGCAGCAACGTTCCGCGTGTTTGGATTCTACCTGCGGCAATGACCGCACTGCTCTTGTGCCAACTCGACATGTACAACGGGGTCAGAGTTGAGGTGGCTCGATTCGACGGAACTCTCGGGACGCCGTCGCCTACGATTTACGTGCAACGACCCACCGTCGACTTTGCACCGTAGTAGTCGTCGCAGCGCAAACGGCATTCCTCGCCATATACATGCGGCTAGTTCCGAGCTTTTTCGAAGCGATTTCCTCGGGCGTCGCAATCGTCCCACAACGTGTTGGCGCGTCACGACATAATTTACGTTTGAATCACGAAATTTTCCAAAATGCCCGCCCCAGGGGTTGCGAAACCGACCGCTTGAAACCCCCATAGGGCGTGGCGACCCAACGCCAACTTGACAAAAACCAATTGAGAGGCGACCGCATGACGTGCTTCCTTCGCGCATCCAGCACGACCGTGCGCTTCCTCAACATTGTGATCGCACTGCTCCAGGTGACCGCGGGTCTCAACGGCGTCTTTAGCTTGACCCACCTCGTGACGCTCGACTGGGCGCCCGTCTTCATCTCGGCGTACGCGATGCTCTTTGCCATTCCGCTCCTCCTTTTCGAGTGCAAGTGCAAGGTCTTCCAGACGTCATTGCGCCACCACTGCGGCTTTCTCTTTCATTTTTACGGTCGGTGCGGGTACCTACTCTTCATTGCGCTCCTGGACGTCGGCGTGCCCGGTGGGCTCGGCGTTGTCGCGGCGCTCACGATTGCCGGGACGATCGGGCTCATGCTCTTCCTCCGCTGTTGTGGCGCCAAGGACGACGTCGACGAAGAGGAGGTGGCGCTGACGAGCCGCACGGCGGCGCAAGACTACCAGGCGCTTGCGTCGTCCAAGACTGTCAAGAAGGTCGTCAAGCTCACAAGTATTACTACGACGGACCTCCAAGCGAAATACACAGATTTTGAGGACCATACGACGACGCTAGTGTACTAATCAATACTCGCGCCAGCTACCCGCACCATTTTCAACGCGAATGTTAGATCAGATTGTAGATGGCTTGATCACAAAGTTCTGTAGTATCTTCAGATGGCCACTGCCCACGAAACCAGCACGCGTACCACATGGCATCAACAGATGGCCGCGCGTCCACTCAACGGACTTGCCCAAATGTACCGGAACAACTGCCAGGCGCTTGACTTACATGTGCCCTCCCTTCCTCTAGCGACTAGTAGAACACACATTTTTACTGCAAACCCCCAACCAAACCCGGGGCTTTGATGAGCATTCACATCTTCGCAACGACCCTTCGGGCAACAGTTGGCTGCCCACAAGCACCTGCTTTTGTCAAATTAAAAGTGCCAAGTCTCTCTGCTCCTGGCTCATTTTGGCGGAATGTACACAGTACAGAGACGTTCGATATCGACGTCACGTTTGCTGTCGAGAACAAAACTGTGTGTTATAATGACACGCAAGACGATCTTGTCGAGAGTCGTTACCTCTGGACTGAAAATAAAAAGGCCCCATGCGGTCCACGGCCGCCACAAGAGGACGCCATTTTCCCATTCGATCCATGACGCACCCCAAGTGCCGCAACGCGTACCAGCGCATGATGCAGCGCCGGTACAAGCAAGCCCACCTCAAGCTCCGTGCCGAGCTTATCGAGACCGCTGCGCTC